GGACCTTGGAGAGGTCGAGAGCTGGTAGCCAGGCTGTGCTTGCTCCTTGTGCCCCACTCACCGAGCAGCAAACTCCAGCTGCAGATGGGAAACTGAGACCACTGTAGAATAATCACCAGCTAGGGGGCATTGTGACACCAGACAGACATGCGATGTGGCATAAACTGCTTTATTGATAGCAGCCGAGCAGGGCTCAGGTGTCTCCGGTGGCCTGGAGGTCCATGTCCTCCACCAAGTCCTGGAGGTAGGCTTTGTACTGGTCAGAAGTGAGGGAGATAGGCTGGCTGTTGGAGATGTGCAGATCCACAGTTCTCAGTGACGAGGCTCCCCCTTCCCGGGCCATCTCTAACAGCTCCTTAAGACATGTGGGAACAACCTATGGGGGTGGGGCAGGAAGGAGTCAGGGCAAATCTCCAATCAGCTAGGGACCCCCAGCGTAGCCCAGGGTGAACCCGTGCTCAGCCTAGGGCTGCTGTGAACTATAGTTCTTCCTCCCCCAGTCATAACCAAGGGGGCTCCTGGGAGCTGTACACTCCAAAGGCTGCAAAGACGGGCAGCTGCCAGCCCCATGGTCTAGTGTCAGAATAAGCTCTGAGCAGCCCTGTGGACGATGGGGAGCAGTGGCTGTAGAGCCCCGTTGGAGTTGGAGTTCCGGGCTGCTGCAGGTTCCTCCACAAATGGACCCTCCCAGCCCCGGAAGCACAAGAGAGCTGGCACCTTGACCATCACAAGCTTCTTGACCCACGGCTGGTCCTGGGGCCACGACTCCCCCACACAGAACCACAGAGTGTAGCGTGGGGAGTGTCCACTTCCTTCCATGAAGGCAATCAGATCTGGGAACCCAGGAGTCAGGTCAGACAAGAAAGGACGCCTCTCTGCCCTTTCCACACACTCAACTCCCTGTCTTCCCTGGTAATGCTCTGCTCCCGCCACAGACACTGCCCGTCTGCAGAAGTCCTGCAGACACTACTCAAGTGTCCTCATCCATAGCTCCTTCCCTGTCCTCAGCACTCTGGGGGGGAGATGCTAACCCACTCCATCCAGAGGCTCGGCAGTGGAGAGGGGGAGGCTGCTGGGATGGCGCCTCAACATCTCAGGCCTCACTGTGGCTCTCCAGATTGACACGGTCATGCCAGCCTTGAGGACGGGGCAGGAGGATGAGTTGAAGGCCAGCAGAAGCAACAAGAGTGAGACCCTTTCTCAAAACAGCTTTAAGGCTCTCCTCAACAGTCCCATGTGTTGGTGGAAAACACTGGAGGCAGGTGCTGGGCTCATCACTCCACAAGACTGCTGGACAGCAGGACTTTAGGGGACTGACTCGTCCTGTAATTTGCAGGGGCACTACCACTGAGCCAAGCCCTTACATCATTTCTATAGTCTCTACAAAATGTTTGCCAGAGCCTTTAATCTCAACACTCAGGAGGCAGAGGCAGGCGGATCTCTGTGAGTTCGAGGCCAGCCTGGGCTACAGAGTGATTTTTGGAAAAGGTGCAAAGCTACACAAAGAAACCCTGTCTTGAAAAACCAAAAGGAAAAACAAAAAAAGGTTTCCGGGGCATCTTATGGTGCCTGTACTACATACATTAGGTTTAACAGTTACAACAGCCGGTCCCCGAACTTGGTGGTGTAAGCCTGTTCGTTGCCATGGAGCAGAGTAGCAGGCTTTGGATTCAATCAGCCACAATGGTCTGTCAATTCCCATAGTTACTCACCTGCCACGAAAGGCCCAAGGTCGAACACACCTCCGTCCTTGTCCTTGGGGACCTCTCCGTCAGGTCCTCGCCCACTGTCTGGAAGCAGCTCCTCACCCAGAGCCCAGAAGGAGTGGGAGTGGCCCAGTCGCTGGGCCCAGAGACACTGCCCTGACCTCCACAGTGCCAGCCCCTTGCCCAGCCCCTTGAGTACATGCCTCACATACTCCCTCACGACCCTGTCTGTCAGAAGCCCCTCAGGGTCTGGCAGGGTGACTGGCTGCCCGGGCAGTGTCTCATTATCAGCTGTGGCGCCCACCAGCCGCAGGCCCCCTGGGCAAAAGAGCGTCTGCTGGAAGACCTGCCGGCCTCGGTAGAAAGCGGTCACTTCGAACTCCCATTCTGAGTGGTGGCATGAGAGGGGAGAGATGAAGAGGACCAGGGTGAGGACTGCATTCCCCGCTGCAGCCCTTCCTACCCCATAGCTAGCACTCACGTTCCTCAGCTAGCAGCTGCCTCAGTGGATTTTCCTGGGGTGCCGGGTTTGGAAAGTTGTCCAAATTGGGGCTTAGCAGTGGTTGAATGTGATCAGGAGCAATAGCCAGGCCCAAGGACCCCTCATCTGGGAGGGGTTCCAAGACCATGCTACCCAGTGATCCCAGGAGGTCTTCCTGGAGGAGGAGAGAGCTGCTAGTCTAGTTAACAGCCTCAGCTGAATCAAGAGGGTAGCAGACTGGTAAAGAATGGAGGTCCAGGGGCAAAAGCTGGGGGTGGGAGGAAGGGGTGACCGACCAGGGACAGGGCAAGGATGGGCACAGGACGGTTGCCGCCTCACCTGGGGATCAGACAGACTGCTTTTGCCATTGGTATCAGGAGAGGTGTCCAGATGTACAAAGTCTCTTGCTGCTGTCCAGAGAGAGGGTGAGTAGAATGAAGGGCAGAGATCCTCCTGATCACACGGGGTTTGTGACTCCCCAAGCCAGCCTGGCCACACACCTGGAGTCACAAACTCATACACTTTATGAGGGTCAAAAGGGTCCTTGCTCTTGTCATCGGCTAATCGCAACACTTCTTTCCGGTTCAGGGCTGACCGGAAATTCCTCTTCCAGGTTGACAAGTCTGGCTTATCCTTCCCTGGGGTGTAGGCACCACTGGCTTCGGCCCAGGCCTGACACACCAGTGATTCCAGGAGAGGAGGAAAGATGACTTAGTCTCTGCCCTGAGGTCCTGACACCTCCCACCATGCCCCATCCTGCAGTTTCAGACCCAAGGTCTCACATTCACCGGGCCCCCAAGTCTTCCATCCTCATCCCTAGCCACTACTTTCCACACCAAAGAAGAAATCATTTTTGGTTTTGAAACAGGGTCTCACACGCTGTAGCAAAGCTGGGCTCCAACTTGTTACTGTCCTGCTGCCTCCGGAGTGCTAGGATGAGGAACTATGGCACCACGCCCACCTTGAAGCCTTCCAGGGCCTATTCGGTACCTCACCCCAGGACACCCCTGGGGGCCACATCTCACATTCTCCCCATTACTACCACTGGTCCATGCTAATTTGGCAGCTAATAACCCCATTATGTAAGGCAGTCTCAGACCTTAAGGTTTAGGGGTTCTAAAATCAAGAGCCCTGCTCTACAGCAGTTCTCAACCTCCCTAAGGCTGCGGCCCTTTCCTCATGGTGACCCCCAACCATGACACTATTTCGTTACTACTTCATAACTGTAGTTTTGCTCCTGTTATGAACCGTACTCTAAGTATCTGCCATGCGACCCCTGTGGAAGGGTCTGATCCGCAGGCTGAGAGCCGCCGCTGTAGAGCGTTCTTAAGCGATCCAAACTTGCTTTCCGGGTTCTATTCTTGGAATCTGCCAATCATTTCCTGTCTGTCCCTCCAGTCCTATCCACCTTCATTAGCAAGACACCCCCGCCCCGTCCCTGACTAGCCACGCCCGGGAACGCCTCTCCGAAGTCCTCAAGAACCTTTGGCCCCTAGCACCTGGAAGATGCCAAAGTCAGCCATCTGGGCGTCCTGCCGCAGGCCATGCTTCCATGGGATCCGGAACCGAGTGCGGCTCTCATCCAGCCAGGCCACGCCTTTCAGCTGCCCCAGGTCCAGCTGCGACACCAGCCAGGGCAAGATCCGCGGTTTTGGGGTTCCCATGATCGGGCCTGCGCACACAGGGCAGTCCCTGAGCCTGCATGTCAAGCGGCAAACGCACTCAAACCTCTCCGACCCGCCACAGCGCAAGCCATTTTTTCACCCATGCTCTCGTTGGGATACAAACGGGGAAACTCCTTCCCACCTTCCATACTCGGTGGGGCCATCTTTCCTACCCCAACGTCTTCAGTAGAAACTGTACCTAACTCTACCTACCCATCGGTTCCTGCTCTTTTATAAACGTAAACCCTTCTCTATTATCCAAAGCAGGTACCCCACTTCCAGGGTGGAGCCCTCTTCCCTATGCTTTTCAGGACCGCGACTGCTCCCTCACCCAGTTCCCTTGCTCATTTCCACTCTTCTCTCAAGTGCTCCCAAGTGCAGTCGCTTCTCTCCAGGCTTCTTCTGTTTTGATTTTTCTATGTTGTTTTTATGCATGTTTTGAGACAGGTTCTTAATACGTAGCACAGGCTGGCCTCGAACTTGCTATGTAGCCCAGGCTGGTCTTCAACTCACTATGCAACCCAAACTGGCCTCGAATGCCCTCTGTAGCCCAAGCTAGCCTCAAACTTATTCGGTAGCCCAGGTTGGTCTTCAGCTCCCGTAACCCTGGCTGGTCTGGAGCTCATTCTGCGGTCCAGCCTGGTCGGGCACCCACTCTGGAGCCCAGGCTGGCCTTGAACTTGCAGCAATTTGACTGCCTTCAGCTTGAGTGCTCAGACTGCAGGCCTACGTCTTCCAGTCGCAGCCCTTCTGGCTTCCTGTAGCCGAGCTCCTGCGCGTCAAGGCTGCCCCATCCTGCGCCCTGAGGCCGCCACCCTCCCGATTCTTCCGCGTTACCTACCAGGGGAGCAATCGCGCGCTCGTGGGGCGCTGGTGCCAACACTGGTTTCGGGGCTCCCAGTAGCTCTGAGGCTCGAAGTCACGCACCCTTCCCCTCCTGTGAGCTAAGCCTCTGAGCGCTGGGGCTTCCTTTTCTAACGATATTTTGAGATAAAAAACAATTTTCTCATAATTTGGTAAGAAACGCACAAGTCGACAGGCTACTTCTGGGCAAAAGCCGACTCCCTCGATGCCCTTTTTCGGCCTTCCGCCCACAGGCATGCTGGGAACGCCATATGCAAATCAGACTACAACACAACGCCCCGCCCCTTCAACGTTGGGGCGGTTACCAGGTCGGCCCAGTGCGCAGGCGCGGGAAAGTTGAATTTACGAAGAAAAGTTTGTAGAAATTGAGTGGAAGCGTGGGCGCCGGCGTCGGCGCGACTAGAGCAGAATCCCGAACCAGGTGAGCGGGGCGCCGGGAAGGTGCTAGAATAGAGAGGGAGGGGAACCAGTTGCAGGAGCGGCCGCAGCCCGTCCTGCCTCGCTGAGGTCCAAGCACCCGGTCTCCGGTGCCAGCAAGAGGTAGTTGGAACTATAACTCCCAGCAGGCTACTCGGTGAAAAAGCGAGGAAACCGGGCCAGTGTGTGCCGCAAAGCCTACTGGGATTGGTAGTTCCCTATCCTCCAAGGACTTAAATACCTCGATGAATGGCTCCTTCGGCATCCAAGGCTGGGAGCTCCAAACCCCCTTCCTCTCCTGGATATAGAAGCCCAAGCACTCAGCTACCTCCTCTCTTAGACCCTGCTGTCTCCAGACTTTTTGCTCGGTGGAATCAACTCTCTCACTGGCCCTTGGCCACCTTCTAGGAGTCTCCCGAGATCTGGCGCCCTCTTCATTTTAGGGACTCGGAGGTTTGAGCATATCATTGCACTTGAGTTTTCATCCTTTGTCCTCTCCTTCAGGTGCCTCCATGGCCGGCTCTGAAGAGCTGGGGCTCCGAGAGGACACACTGAAGGTTCTGGCTGCTTTCCTTAGGCGCGGTGAAGCTGCTGGGTCCCCCGTCCCAACCCCACCCAGGTGAGTGAGTGACCACTCTCCCAGGGACAGCCTTTGACTGGAGGATCTTCCTGAGTCTTGGTACTGGTCCCAGCCTGTCTCCTCCCTTCAGATCTGACCCCATATGCCTGTCTCGAGTTTCAGAGTGCTCTTCCGTGGGGTTACTCTGAGGTTCTTGTCCCTAGGAGCCCTGCCCAAGAGGAGCCAACAGATTTCCTGAGCCGCCTCCGAAGATGCCTCCCTTGTCCCCTGGGGAGGGGAGCCCCTCCTCCGGAGTCCTCTCGGCCCTGCTTCCTTCCCCTCCGGCCCTGCTATGATTCTGAGCCTGGTAAGATATTTACACTGGTCACCTGTGAAACTGATGGTTAGGAGCTTTGGTTCCAAAAGTGCAGACAGTACCTGTTATAAGCGGTGTCAACACCGCTCAGTGTTAGCCACAACGATTCCCCTGCTGTGTTAGGCTTCTTTCTAGTGGGTAAGGGCAGTGTGGAGACAGAGTCACACTTGCTGGAGCCCTCCTGCATCAGCCTACCTCAAACTGGAATCACAGGCTTGCCTCATTAAATAGAACCCCGGCTTAAATTTATTGTTTTTTCTTTTTTTGGTTTTTTGAGACAGGGTTTCTCTGTGTAACAGCACTGGCTGTCCTGGAACTCACTCTGTAGCCCAGGCTGGCCTCAAACCCACAGAAATCCACCTGCCTCTGCCTCCCAAGTACTGGGATTAAAGGCGGGTGCCACCACTGCCCAGCGCTCAGTTTAGATTTCTTCCTAGCAATTCTGTGGTTGACCAGGAGGAGGTGCTCTGGCCCGCTTCTTAGGTAGTTATCTCTTTCCCTACACAGGTGCTTCAAGGGCTCTTAGGGAAGACTTCACTGTAGCCCCAGCACACGAGACAGGAGACATGGCTGTCAGTCACAACTCCCTACCTAGCTGGGTATGGGGGCGCACTGCTGTAATCAGCACTTGGGAGACTGAGGCAGGAGGATTGCTGTGGGTTGAAGGCCAGCCTGGATTACAGAAAGCGATGATGTAGTTGAGTCAGTAGAGTGCCTGCCTAGCATGCACGAAGCCCTGTACTCAGTTCCCAACAGCACAAGGCATGGCAGTGCACATTAGGAGGAGAAGAAAGAGGCCTCCAAGGGCACCAGGCATGCACTGGGCACACGGACATACATGCAGGCAAAACACCCATACTCGTTAAATAAAATTTTTTTAAAAAAATGGGGGGGGCTTTTGTTTTGTTTTCTCTGTAAAAGAGCTCGGGCTGTCCCATGTAACAGACTTTCTTCATGTGCCACCAACCAGCTTCCAAGTCATGACGTGGAGACTCATTATTAGTTGTGGATGCTCAGCCTTAGCGTATGCTTGTCCCACTAGCTCTTATAACTTACTTTAACCTGTTTCTCTTCATCTGTGTTTTACCTTAGGGCTTTTTACCTTTCATTCTGTCTGTCCTATTTCCCTGCTTTCTCCCTCCTCTCTCCCTTCTCTCTGGAGCCTAGATTCTTCCTACTTATATTCACTGCCCACCAGCCCCAACCATCTCTCTCCTGCCTAGCTATTGGCCATTCAGCTTTTTATTAGACCAGTCAGGTTTCTTAAGCAGGCAAGGTGAAACAGCAACACATCTTTACATTGTTAAACAAATGCAATATAAACAAATGTAACACATCTTTGCCCAGTTAAAGTAATATTCCACAACAGTTCTGGAACTCACTTTATAGACCAGGCTGGCCTTGAACTCACAGAGATGTGCCTGCCTCTGCCTCCTGAGTGCTGGGATTAAAGGTGTGCACCACCACCACAAAGAGCATTGGATCTCATGGATTTAGAGTTATGGAAAGAAGAGCATTGATCTCATGGATCTAGAGTTATAGAAAGAAGAGCATTGATCTCATGGATCTAGAGTTATAGAAAGAAGAACATTGGATCTCATGGATCTAGAGTTATAGAAAGTTGGGAGCCACCATGTGGGTGGTGGGAATTGAACCCAGGTGTGCTGGAAAAACAGCCAGTGCTCTTAATTGCTAGGTCATTCAACTTCTGATATGCTTTTCTGGCCGTCATGGGCACCACACACCCAAGTGGTACACAGACACAGGTGCACGCAGAATACCCATATACATAAAATTAAAAAATAATTCTAAGGAAGTGTGACTGATTAGATGGCTTGCCTAAGAAGAAAAGTGCAGCTGCAGAGGTCTGTTGCTGATCTGTGAACTGGACAAGGGGTAAGGTGGTAATGGCAGAAATGCTGTGTGCCCTTATTGGATGGAATAATCTCCAAAGTTTAGCTCAGATATTTCAGTTTAATTTGAAGGTGCAACCAAGTAGAAAGGCTGAGGACTTTGACATCTTTTCCCAAATTCTCTCATGGCCTCAGTTTACACCTTTGTGAAATGGAAATTGTTGCTGTCTAGTAAGATGGTTTGGAGGAGAGAATCCGTAAGTGTCCTGTTCTGTAGACACAAAGAGTTATTCTTGCCACCAGGCCCAGCGACTTCAGACTTCTATGCCCTGGTCGCCCAGCGTTTGGAACAGTTGGTGCAAGAGCAACTGAGATCTCCGCCCAGCCCAGGTAAGCAGCAGAGGGGCCCGGAGATCGGTGAGAGCGGGGTAAGCAGAGGCCCGGAGACCCGTGAGAGCGGGGTAAGCAGAGTGGCCGGAGACCCGTGAGAGCGGGGTAAGCAGAGGCCCGGAGACCCGTGAGAGCGGGGTAAGCAGCAGAGGGGCCCGGAGACCCGTGAGAGCGGGGTAAGCAGAGGCCCTGGAGACCCGTGAGAGCGGGGTAAGCAGACCCGTGAGAGCGGGAGTGAAGCCAGGCCCCTCCGCAGTTCACTTCTCTTCTTTCCCCCAGAATCCCAGGGACCCCCACCCACAGAAAAGGAAGCCCTGCTAAGGAGGCTGGTAGCCTTGCTGGAGGAGGAAGCAGAAGTCATCAACCAAAAGGTGACCGGCCTATGCTCTATGCCTTGGAGAGGACAGTAATATGGGGTAGGGCAGAAGCAGGAGTGGCATTGTCTTGGTGAACACCAGATCATCTTTCCGACAGCTTTGGAGCCTCACTCACCACAGTAGGACTTTAAAGAGGAAATGCCGCTGGAGGTGGGTGTGGCTTCTGCGTTTCCTGGAATCTGATTGGCTTTCAAAGCTGGACAATACTGTAACAGTAATAATCTGGTAGGAAACAAGGTTTCCATAAATGGCTTCAGCGGTTCTTTTTTTCCCCCCCTTTCTCGAGACATGGTTTCTCTGTGTATCCCTGGCTGTCCTGGAACTTCGCTGTAAATCACGCTGGCATCGAACTCAGAGATCTGCCTGCCTCTGCCTCCCGAGTGCTGGGTTCAAAGGCGTGCGCCACCACTCCGGGCTTGGCTTCAGGGACCGAAGGAGAATTTACTGTTTAGAACTCAGAACTGTACTTTGCTCTGAGTCTAGACCCCCTTCCTGGGAGTCCATTGGCCATAGAGGCTGGGGGGTGGCACTTAGTGCAGCCCAGCCTCCCTGGGCTGTTTGCAGGAGCAGCAGTAACTGACGCTGCCCCTCCGCTGCCCTCCGCCCCTCAGCTAGCCTCTGATCCTGCTCTGCACCGCAAGCTGGCTCGCCTGTCAGCAGGCTCCTTCGCCCGCCTCGTGGAACTCTTCTCCAGCCGGGAAGTCAGCTCCTCCCCAAGCTGTGCCAGCCCCTCGCTGCCGTGCCCGGCGCCCCTGCCGTGCCCGGCGCCCCCACCGCCATCCCCGGAGCCACTGGCCCGCTTGGCTCTGGCCATGGAGCTGAGCCGGCGCGTGGCTGGCCTGGGGGGTACCCTGGCCGGCCTCAGCGTGGAACATGTACACAGCTTTGCGCCTTGGATCCAGGCCCATGGCGGCTGGGTAAGTCGTAGACATCCTGCCAAGCCTCAGTTTACTGCCGTTTGATGGGGGACAGCTTAGGTTTCCTTCCATTCAGTCCATCGTGTGCTTATTGAGCACTTGATGTATGCTAGGCACCTTGCTGAGGTCCTCATGCCCAGCTGTCTTGATCCAGCAGTTGTGAGACCAGCTCCTGCGGCTCCCCAGTCCTCCCATCTTCTAGGGTGGTTGTGTAGTGGAGGATGGGATTCTTCAGGGATGCATGGGATCCCAAGGACCTCTGCTTCTTATGTTGAGTATCAACTCAGTGAGGTCTTCCCTGGACCCTGTTTATTGTTTTATAAACATAAATTAGAAATAAATCTGCTTGGCATAATGCCATATTTTTAATTCCAGGACTCAAGAGGCAGGCAGATCTCTACGAGGTCAAGGCCAGCCTAGTATACATAGGGAATTCCAGACCAGCTCCGGCTGTATAATGAGACCCTGGAGGTGGGAGTAAGGGTAGGGGGAATGGTACCTGGTGGTGCAGGCCTGTCATCCCAGGTACCAGAGAGACTGAGGCAAGAACATCCAGGTTTAACGACATCTGGGCGACAGAGAGTAGGTGTAAGGTCAGCCTAGGAACTTAGTGAGATCTTGTCTCAGAATATGAACAGAGCTCAGTGGTAGAGTCTAGCACTTAAGAGTGGGATGAAAAGTGTGGTCTAGAGGCACAGCTGGCCGTGGGGGGCCCTGATCATCCTGAGATGGGGCTCTGAGATACAGATCGTCTGTGCACAGCCACAGCTGGCCGTGGGGGGCCCTGATCATCCTGAGATGGGGCTCTGAGATACAGATCGTCTGTGCATAGCCCCATCTGGATAAACCCGGAGAGACCTGGAGATGGGTCCAGTCCCAACAGGAAGGACTCTGGATTTCACTGCCTGATGAGGCTGGATGCTCTCTCAAGACTGAATGTGGACACCAGGTTATCGAATGCCCCACCATTCCCTGCCAGTGGAGATTTCTCCCAAGATCCAGAGTAGACACTACTAAGTGGTGAAGAAATTAATCTGAGGGATATCGAATGAATCTAAGCACACCGGGCTCTTTAGTCTATTCACTTCATTCTTCTCAATTTTGTCTACACAGCTTCTTTTCTGTTCTCACACTTAGCTCCTCTGTCCCTTCTTCCGCTGTTCTCTCATTGTCTACTGAACCTAAGATCTTGCATTAAAAATGGGTGTAGAAATAAATACAAAGTATTAATTGTTTTTTTGAATTAGAGTGGGGAGGTGCCAGTGGAGGATGTTTAGGGCAGCATAGGTGCTATTGATCTCTAGAAGGGCTAAGATATACCCAGGCCAGACACCTGCTCTATCACTTCTAGTTCGCTATAATCCTTCTAAGGGATCCAGCAAGGCCAGGCACCTGCAATTCTGCTCTGTGAAAGTTCCACGAGGACACTTTGGCCAATTTTACTTTCTCAGTGGCTAATGATGGAGAACAAGACCTCTAAGTGTCTACAGTCCACATGGAACAAGAGACCTAGTTATGAAGCATATTTTAGTATGTTTCTATTCATAAAAATTGGGGCGGTGGTGGCACACACCTTTAATCCCAGCACTCGGGAGGCAGAGGCAGGCGGATCTCTGAGTTCGAGGCCAGCCTGGGCTACAGAGTGAGTTCCAGGAAAGGCTCCAAAACTACAGAGAAACCCTGTCTCAAAAAAAAAAAAAAGTGCAGTTAAATAAGAAACCATCTTCTAAACTATCCACAGTTATGTGTGCCCATAAGATTGAGATGCAATCATGAGATTACATGTACACATTACATGGAGATGCATGGTAAATGGGGAGAATCATAGCTGTTATTGCACAAGAAGTTTACAAGAAACAATCAGTTCATTCAAAAGGCAGTAATTCCATAACACCTTGCATGATGGTTTCCTCCAACAGAACCCTCGGTTCTGACAGGTTGGCCTTCTGAACTCTAGTTGTCACCTGCTGTATACTCCCATGGACTTTGCTGCCAGCGGCTCTCACTACCAGGTCAAAGATGTTACTGTGAGCATATGTAGGTTCCTCTGCACTCCCTAGGACAGGGAGCTGGGGATGATGGAGGAACCCAGACTACACTGGAGATAGTGAGGAGAGGAAGGATGGACATGTGGAGCTCACCCAAGAACCTGCCATACCCGCTTCTTTTAACAGATGTCAGGAGAACTTAGGGGAGACCAGAGACTGGGCAGGGCTGTCATGGAGTTAAAGGCTAGTCCTTAGAACAGACTGAGGCCAGCCCAGAACAGCCAGCCCCTGGACTGCTCTGTGCCAGGACTGTCCCCCTGCCTCTGTTTCCACCCTCTCTGTGTATCTGACCCCATCTCTCTGGAAGGCCTCGGCTCACGGGCTCTGTCCCCTGCAGGCAGGCATCCTGGCCATCTCACCCGTGGACCTGGATTTACCCTTGGACTGAGTGCTTCCTTCCTGAGCTGCTGCCGGAATGACCACAGCTTCTGCTGACACACGTATTTCCTCTCAGGGCTGCGGGCTGGGGCTTGCCATGGCACTTTTTTTTTTTTTTTTTTTGCCAAAAAGATTGTTTAGAAATGTCTCTATATTAAAAGCTTTGTTCTTTAACTAAAGCACCAAGGTGTTTGTTTGACTGTGTGTGTGTGTGTGTGTGTGTGTGTGTGTGTGTGTGTGTGTGTGCGTGTGCATGTGCATGTGTGTGCGTGCGCGTGCATTTGAGTGAACTGGAACGTATGTGGAGGTGAGAGCTCAAGGCTGGGGTCTATCACACTCCATTTTTTTTTTTTTGGACACAGGGTCTCTCTATGTGGCCCTGGCTGTCCTGCAACTCTGATTCCTGAGTGCTGGGATTACAATGGACATGGTGACCCACGCCTTTAGTCCCAGCACTCCGGAGGCAGAGGCAGGCAGATCTTTGAGTTGGAGGCCAGCCTGGGCTACAGAGTGAGTTCCAGGACAGCCAAAGCTTTTTTTGTTTTTTTGAGACAAGGTTTCTCTGTGTAGCTTTGCGACTTTCTTGGAACTTGCTTTGGAGACCAGGCTGGCCTCGAACTCACAGAGATCCACCTGGCTCTACCTCCCGAGTGCTGGGATTAAAGGCGTGCGCCGCCACTGCCCAGCGATTTCTAAAATTGAAAATTGAAGCATTCCATGTACAGGTGTGTTGGGGGGGGGGTATGTGGATGTTAAGTGCAGGTGACATCCAATCACTTGGAGCTGGAGTCACAGGCAGTTTCAGCCACCTGAGCTTGGATCTGGCGCTTAACACAGCCTCCCAGCCAATGTGTAACGCTTTTGTAACCCTGGTGAGCAGCTTGGGAGTCCTGTATGGTTCTGAGAGTCTTAGCCATGTAAATCTCCCGAATCTCAAGAGCTTCCTCCTTCCTGTGTTCAGTCTGGAAGAAATAGGTACAAAGCTGGCTTCTGCAGTGCCAGCTGCAATTTTTTTTCTTGAGCCGCTATGGGTGGCACGTCCTTCAGTAGGCCAGTGGTTCTCAACCTTCCATGCTGTGACCGTTTAGTAAAGTTCTTCATGTTATGGTGATCCCCAAACAAAAAATCATTCTCGCCGGGCGGCAGTGCACATGCCTTTAATCCCAGCACTCAGGAGGCAGAGCTGAGGATCCCTGTGAGTTCTGGGCCAGCCTGGTCTACAGAGCGAGATCCAGGACAAGCACCAAAACTACACGGAGAAACCCTGTCTCAAAAAAAACCACAAAACAAAATAAATGATAATTTTCGTTACTACTTTGGAACTGTAATTTGCTGCTGTTACAAACCGTAATGTAAATGTTTCCCGGTGCTCTTAGGGGACCCCCAAAGGGGTCATGACCCACAGATTGAGAACCACTGAGCTCCATCTCCAGCCCTGCCTTATGATAGAACCCTGAGGTTGCTGGAGGGTGGGGCTGTGCGTGGACCAGTGACAGGTCTCGTGGCTGTCAGCTGTCCCTTTAAGCTCTGCAGTTCATGATGCAGCAGGCCTATAATCCCAGCAGTTAGGAGACCAGGGTTCAAAGGTCACTCAGTGTGGGCTACAAGAGTCCTTGCTTCAAAAACCTCAAATCGGGGCTAGAGCAATGGACCTATTAGTATCCAGTGCTTGCTGCCTAAGCATAAAGACTTGCACTCAGTTCCCAGCAGCCGCTGGAAAGCCGGGCACAAGCACTCAGAAGCCAGAAAGAGGATCTCTTCAGCTTGTTGAATTGGCAGGCTCCAGATTTACTGAGGCTTTTTTTCCTCAAAAAATAAGGTGGTGCCAGGCATGGCAGTGCATGCCTTTAATCCTAGCATTTAAGAGACAGACAAGCATATCCCTATGAGTTCCAGGCCAGTCTGGCCTATGCAGACAATCTCAAAATTCAAAACACAGACTGGGTGGCAGTGGCGCACGCCTTTAATCCCAGCACTCAGGAGGCAGAGGCAGGAGGATCTTTGTGAGTTCGAGACCAGCCTGATCTACAGAGCAAGTTCCAGGACAGGATCCAAAGCTACACAGAGAAACCCTGTGAGTGTGTGTGTGTTGGGGGGGGGGGGCGGGGGATTCAAAGTACAAAGCCCAGCATTCGGGGCGCAGAGGCAGGTGGATATATCTGAGTTCAAGGCCAGCCTGGTCTACAGAGTGCGTTCCGGAACAGCCAGGGCTACACTGAGAAACCCTGTCTCGAAGAAACAAAAACAACAAAAAGAAAAGAAAAAGAAATAATAGTGGCTGGGAGAGATTTTCGCACACCTTAAATCCCAGCACTTAGCCGGGCGGTGGTGGCGCACGCCTTTAATCCCAGCACTCGGGAGGCAGAGCCAGGCGGATCTCTGTGAGTTCGAGGCCAGCCTGGGCTACCAA